AAATAAATAAATAAATAAATAAATAAATAAATAAATATTCTGTGTGTACACACTCACAAACACGCACCTTGAAAAATCTTAAATGTAAAATTTGAATCAGCTTTCAGTTCTACAGTTCTTTGATGGAATAAGCTTCTGAAGAGAGATCGTGGATCAGAGGCTTCTGGTATTAATTTTAGATGTTGCATGAAGATATCTATATGCAACAATAGCAATGGGCAGTTGCCTACCCTAGTTCCTGTCTTAAAGCTTGTATTCCAGATCCAATGTTTCCTAATTTTTATTAACGATTTGGTGCAGGGACTCATGATAAAGGAATTTCATCTGCAAAATCAAATAAGTAAATCTTTTATTGTGCTGTTGCTGAACTTCAGTTTGTAGTATTGGATAAAAAGAACTTTGGGAGCCATTATTTCCTACTGTGTAGATGAGAACCTGGTTATTAACTATCCTCCACCAGTGGAGGGTTTGCAAAGAGACCAGGACAAAATTGGCAAAAAAAGGGGGGGATTTTAGATATTTATATATTTTGGAGTTATTTTTCATGTCTCAAGCTCTTGGAGTCCTCAAAAATACTTAGTGCAGGCTACAATGATAAAATGGTCCAAAGAAAATGTTTACATTATGCTTTAACCTGTTACAGCCTTGCATCTTCTGTACTGTTATGGATGGGATTTGATAGTGCCAAATGGTTCTTCAGTCAATATATTAGGATTATTAAATTACAAAAGGATATCAACCAGTTCCCCTTATACTTCATTCCTTTGAGAGTTAAAGATGTCTCACTCCTGCCTTGATATCTTTATAACGTTGTATTTATAACATCATGAGCAAAAGAGTAATCATTTTGACACACAGTAATGTTTTGCCATCTGTGCCTTGAAGGGTAGATTTGCTAATAACCCAAAAGATTGAAAATGATGAGCTAGAGAAATAGAAAGTATGGGAAATGTGATTGTGTGCCACATTATGTATTTTATTAATCTTCTAAACTCTCTATATAACTTCCCATATCGTAAGATTATCAGAGGGCCAAGCTACGTCCCTTGAATGATTTGCTAGCTCATCAAAATTCAGAATTCTAAAAGTTATTATATGTCATGGAACATGTTCAAAAATCAAGTGGTAAAGAAACACTTCATTCTGAATTAGATTGTTTAGTATAAAACCTAGTTTATACAGGTAATCCCTGGGCTACAAGAGTTCCCTTAGTGAACGTTCGAAGTTACGCGATAAGCGCTCCCTTGGGTTTACGAACAAATCCTGACATTAGTAATACTGCAGCACCACGGCAGTTGTTCACCCTTTTGAATAACCGCGGAGGCTCTGCAACATTTGCCCTGCCTATTCACCCCCCTGCTAGGTCTTCACAGGGACTCCTCCTGGGCCTCGTTTTTCATTAACAACATCATCCTCAAGTGCTTCAGCAGTGAGAAAGGCCCAGAAGGGCATGCGTGCCCTTCCAGGCCTCCTTTCTTGCCGCCAAACTGCTTGAGGAAGGTTTTGGCGACGAAAAAGGAGAGAGCAGGCAAAGAAAGAAGCTGGAGAGGAGACAGAACCTCATCAGGTAAGTTACCTGGCATGGCAAAATAGGGGGGAGCAATTGTGGGGATCCCAGAGATGGAGAATGAGGTATCTGTGGGTCGGGGAGGCCTTGGGTGGTCTGAAGCAGGTGGCCTGTTCCATCACTAGCCCCCCCCTCCAATGGCCTTTCCCACCCCAAGACACCTCATGCACTTAATGAGCCGTGCATTTGATTATAGAATGCGTCAGCAAAAGGAAGTGATCATGTTCACGGTACGAGATTTACTCCCACGAATCCTCGAGTTACTAATGGAATGGGCAGACTCCATTACATTCGTAACTCGAGAACCACCTGTAAAACCTTTAAAAATTGAGGGGATGGGAAAATATAACAAGTACAACAATATTCTATCATATTTGTCAAAAATACAAACTTCCACCATTCTGTAAAAACAAAACAGTAAGGAGGGATTTGTTTGTTTAATTGGGCGATATCCATTTATTCTAAATATTTATTTACAAGTTCACAGCTGTATAAAGAGAAACATTACTCTGAGTTTTGGGGGAAGATTGTAATAAAACTGAATATACCAATATTCTACTCTATCTGCATGATAACTCCAGGTACAAACTTTTAATAAACTATCTTAGACAATGTATTCAAGTAAGCAAAAACAGCATTGTAGAATTATTACTATCTACATCTTATTTCATAATGTTGCTGATGCTCATTAGGTTTATTTCCAACTTGTGTCCTCCTCTCCTCTAATAACTCTGTAATAATATGTGTATAAGACTGTCATCAGAGCAGCAGGTGCACTATTCCCATATTTACATACATTTGTGTTCTTTCCCTTTAGATTAAAATATGTAATGATCTCGTTACGGTAATTGAGAAAGGTAAGAGTTTGCTCACATGGCGTCATTCTCAATTTACTAACTAGATTCCTTCTGTTGCTTGCATGAAGCTGAAATAGCTGTCATTTAATTTTGATTGGTCTCTTGCTTTTCCACTGGGTTTGTTCTAAGATCAAATGGTTCTTGTTTATGTCTGGTTCGCTAAGGAGTACTAAGAAGAATATTATTCGTAGCCCTCTGGCCCTGAATGTCTAAGCTTTATTAGAAAAACCCTCTCCCTTCCTTCTTTTCTTTCTCTCTCTCTCTCTCTCTTTTTCTTTCTCTTTCTTTTTCTTGCGCCTGTTTGCTTCAGGCAGAATTTGACACCAACACCTGCCATGGTGGAAAATGTCTTTGTTGCTTTCCACTTTTGTTTGAATTGCTGCAGGGGAGCCAATGAGAGTTAAAACCATTTACTTTTTTTTGTTGCCTAAGCACCATGGAATAGGATCTTGAGATGGTGCCGATAAGGAGTGGCACGTGCTGTGCTGGCCCTTTGAGTTAGCTCAGCTTAATAAGGGGCTCTTTTTCTGGGAAGGGCAGATTGCTGAGCTCGGGCCTATGAATGGAACAGCTGGGGGAAGAAAAGGGAAACAAAAGAGGGAAAACATAGGCTGCCCTGAACCTGGCAATTGGGGGTACAGTTTTGGAGCCGGAGAGCAAGCTGGCCACACGCCAGGTGTGACCTTTGCAGTCTGCTTGGTTCTGCTTGTTTGGGCAATTTCCAGTGCAATCCTGAAAAGGAAGGAGGAAGCTGCTGGGCAGCAGAGCATTGCTGGAGAGATGCACTCAATGGGTTGCTGGGACATTGATTTAACTCTTGCAAAACCAGCCTGCGGATAAAGAGAACGGAGTTTTCAAAGAACAGATTGCCTAAATGGCCAGCTCTTCAGGTTGGTCAATGAGTCAGCATTATATCCCTGCCTCAACTGAAAACTAGCCTTCTGTATCAGAGTTACATACTCATTTAGCAAATTTCTATGATGAACGATCCCCAAGGAAAGGCAGCCATTTATGTTTCAGGGAGTAGCATATCTATTAGTTATAAATGTTTCATCGATTTAACTCTGCTCGCCTTCCTTGGAAGTGATTCCATTTAAATCAGACAATTTCTTAATATTTTATTTGGAGACTGTGTCTTGTATTATTCAAAGATGAATGATGTTGAGATATGCTTTCCAACCAAATACGTTTTTTTAATGGTTTACATAGTTTGCACCAGGCAAAAATGCATTCTATCTGCCTCTTACTATAATAATCTCTCACTGTAACATTTGAATTATTTTATGGGAATAGTATTTGCACTATTCTTGGTTCCACCACAAATGCGCGTACGACAAAAGCGCGTGTGACTAAAGCGCGGTGACAAAACCGCACCGTCAAAACCACGCGACAACAGCGCGCCGACAACAGCGCGCCAACAGAAGCGCGCTGTAACATAACTCTAAAAAAACCCCTAAACCTAATCCTAACCCTTACCTTAATTTAAATCGGCTTTCTGCCACCGTGCTGTTTTAAAGCGCCCTTCTGTTGTCGCGGCGGTGATGACGTCGCGGTGATGACGTCGCGGCTTTAGCGACGTGGTTTTATCACCACTATTTTGACTAGCGCGGTTTTGTCGTGCCACGGTTTAACTGTAGAACATCTGATAAGAAAATAGAGTAGGTTGGAGATGAATCCTCAGAAGAGCAGAATTAAATAGTCTGTTTTAGTATTTCTTCACAATCTCTATTCCTCTACATGTATAAAGAGCAGTAATAGCAAAAACACTTCCCTGCTTATCTGAAATAATTGAAATATTTAGGCTGTAACCAGATGGCCCAAATGCCATAAATAATGTCGAACCTACAGGACAACCAATGTGATATATAGATTAAGAAGAAACTGGATACCTGCAACATTGGCCATCATGGTGATCAATAATAGGCTTTCATTTAAAAAAAAATATATCCAAGCAAAGCACCATGCATAGAAAAGCATGACAGATATACTTGTAGTACATAATGCACTGCATCTGTGTTATATGGAGCTAATCCAGTTGTGCAGAACTGCCAGGACTATGGTTCTTGGAAAATTTTAACATCCATGCTTGATGAAGGTGAACCCAAATTTAATGAAATCCATGACAATCAGGAGGCTGTCTCAAGTTACTATTAAATCAACAAACAGGGCAACAAAGTGCCTTGGCTTAGAATTTGCTTTGAGTGGATGCCATGAATTATCAATTATATTTTTTCAGACATTCAGAGGTGTATATTGAGTGGCACCTTCTCTCCTTCCTAATAGTGGAGGAGTATCTTACTATTAGACAGCTAGTATGGATTCAGAAATGATGCATTGGCTCACAGGTTAAAGATGCTGAGCTTGTCAGATGAAAAGCTGACAGCCCGGGTTTGAGACCCGAGTGCTGAGACCCAAGTGCTGCGTGTAAGTTCCCATTACTTGCCCCAGCTCCTGCCAACCTAGGAATTCAAAAGCATGCAAATGTGAGTAGATAAATAGGTATCACTTTAGTGGGAAGATAACAGGGTTCCATGCACCTTTGGCATATAGTCATGCTGGCCATTTGGCACAGAAGTGTCTTCAGACAATGCTGGTTCTCTCAACTAAGAAATGGAGATAAGCACCACCCCTAGAGTTGAACAAGGGAAACTTTTATCTTTATCTATGGATTCACAGTAATTTGTCAAACAACAACAAACAAAGCGGCAGCAATATATAATCAATAATTTAAATACCAAGATAAAATTTAATACCATAAGAGACATAAGAATCAATAATCCCAATAATTGGTTGATTATGTGCTCTCAAATTCATATTGATTCTTAGCAAGTACATTATCATAATTATTTAACAAATTAACGCAGATTCTTAGTCAAGGTACAAATGGTCAGGCTCAAATTATCCTACTTCAGACACATTATAAAAAGACTTAGATCCCTAGAAAAGGCTTTGATCCTGAGAAAAATGTAAAGAAAAAGAAGAGGATGGCCAGGCGCACACTAGCTGGATTCAGCTATATTGGCAATAAGTGCCACTGTTGGGAGATAGTGTTGGGAGCAAAATTGCTCCTCTCTTAGTATGTCAGTTGATTGTTGGCCTTATTTAGATAGATTTTTTCCATGATTGTGTTACATGATGAAGCCTTTTGACGTGAGGATGTGATAGGTAAAAGTGGGAGAGAGTTGGTGTTTTGGGAGAGCAGAGTCCTGTAATAGAGGAATCTCCTATTCAATCAGTTTATCCCGGGTGCTTGATGTTTTGCTCACTTCCAAAGGGAATTTGGGATTATTTCTGTTTTTGATGACAAATCAACGGAGGCCATAGTTGCTGTCCAGAATGCAGAGGTGATGTTGGGCTCAGGTCATATCACAATTGTGCAGACCCCCACTACATGTGGATCCTCGTGAGCCCCAAGGTTTCAGAGGCACTCCGGAAGATAAAGCATGCGTACTGTACCCCTGGAAAAGAATAAAGAACAAATTCAATTGAGCATAGCTAAAATTCTTTATTAACATTTTTTTGTGGTTGATAAGAATGGCAAGATATAATTATATATATATACTTGCAGATAAGTCTATAGAATTTTAGATGATGAGTTCAGCTTATCTACATATGGGCTTATCTCCAAGTATATACGATAATACTCCGTATATACTCAGATATAATCCATCTGCAGATAAGCTGAAATTCACATTTTTAACCAAAATGCCAACAGTGTGAGGGTTGGCTTATCTGAAAATGGGCTGATGTGTGGATTGTCATGGATTGTGTGAACCGATTATGTAGATTGTCACATCCCCAGAGAACTGGATGGGCAGCTCTGTTTAAATGATTCAGCCCGTTCTGCTTAAAGTGGTATCAGAGGAACATGTAAGGCCACTTTGAAAACTATTCCACTCTGATGATAAATTTCCTTTGGTCATTCCATCAAGATGAAGCATTATGTACAATGCAAACATTTTCACTTAAGAATGCATTTTCCTGTGTATAATTTTAAAAAACCAGAGGAACCAGCAGTGTTAGATACAAATTTGTCCATCTTTTTCTTCTGTTTATGGGAGTCACACAACTAACTGTATTCTCAAAAGAATGTGTATATTGCGTTTGGCATATACAGACACACACATGACGTTGCAGGAAATGGATAACGTTGTTTAAAAGTTCTTTACTAGGAGAGAGCTGATGAAATGGCATTTGCATTTACAAAAGTCTCATGGGGCAGATGAAAGACACAGTAGCAACAACTGTACTTGATTGCAACATGCATTTCTCTGTTCCTGGGAGCATTGATGATAATTATGCTAAGGAACTAACTAGAGATCTTGCATCCTCATTGTCTTATGTACATGCACATATATGCTTTAAATAAATTTGATTGCCTTTGAATTAAGTAACTTTTTCTCTTCAGTTAGAAGAGATGCAATTTTTAGCTGAAATTCTACATACAAAAACTCAGCCATTTTAAATAGCCTAGAATGTATTTCTAAATAAATAGACATTGTAAATTATTATGTCTGTACAAGAGAAATATTAATTTAAACAGAAACTGCTTTATCTCTTTCAGAAAATTAGTATTATATAAAAATGAACTGTTTATATATAGAGGAATATACATCTTAAATAGAACATAAGGAACAATTGTTATTCCATAATGTTCACATTTATCCTCCATCCTAAGATTATGAACTTACATCAGCACAAATTGTTTATGTGACTGTAAGTTTATTTGACTTTAGGTAAATGTTCATGTAAACAGAAAAAACAGATTTCTTGGATCAACAATATAGTGAAAATAGAAACTAAAAGCTCTAGATGGGAAGCATAACTATTAGAAGTATCATAGCTATTTTATGTTTCCCTGGAGGTTCCCTTCCGAAGTATTTGTTTAAAAAATCCAACTCAGAAGCTGTTATCAATTTACTACTGCTCACCTGGATCCAAACATTTTTACAGCTGGCAGACACAGAGACACATATCACAGGTAAACTGTTAATTTTGCTGGTGATGCTGTCTCTGTTATGAGTGTGGGCATGTTACTCTTCTAGGAATTGCATCATGTAGTAGCAGCTAGTTTCCTTTTTTCTTCTTAACGTTTTCATGTTTGTCTGGAATAGCTGCCAATATAATTTGCTAAGCTATCTGAGGACTATTGCCAGTTGTATTTTGATACAAAAATATAAAATGGATGGCATTCATTTCTTTGTCTTACCCCAAAACCCCTTTGCTGTGTTTGTCACTCCAGATTTTGAACTTTCATGTCAGTATCTGAAGCCAAGGAACCTTGCTTTATTAAAAGATTTCTAAATTACCTTTATCATATATTAGCCTTACAAATACATATATTAGCCTTGATGTTGAATAAATAAATGTTACATATTTTATTATTAAAATATTAATTATATCTGCTTATTTTCCAACACCACTCCGAGATCATAGCATAAAATTCACTCATGCTTTTAAAGTAGGAAAATGGATGACATTTTTAAATAAGTAAATCTTTGGAGAGCACACTTTGCCACCAAGAATCAGAGGAAGGTGGCCCAGCCATAGCACAGATGCGATATAGAACACTGAAGTCGAAATCACCAACAAGACCTTCATCACACCAGATGTAAACTTTACTAAAATCTGCACTTCCCTGCAAGGAAGTCAATCACAAAGATTCTAGCCCTGAATTAATGCAAAATGCTTGTCAACATCTGATGTCATGTTGGTGAACATATTAGCGAGAACATTTATGGCCTCCATCAGATTCAATCGTTTTAAAATAACAATACACATTCAGTTGTGATGATCATCAAGTGATATGTAGTTGTATGTAATGTACCTAGAAACAGCCTAGAATATATCTTTTATTTGTATGGATTTTCTAAAAAGATCTAGGGAGGTATACAATTCTGTCTGCCATCTGAAATGAGATAGTCCTAAGGCAATTGTGTATACATTTCTGAATATGGATTTCATCAGAATACATAAGAAAAATGAAGAATTTTATAATAAACCCTTCAAATACATACACATATTATACATATTATCCTCTTGTAACTGAGAATCAAAAACTAATCCATTATACCATTAAACATTTTCAAAAGACAAATTATCCAATTCAAATAACCATTAAGCATAATCAAAAATAAGAACTCATTGTTTAATCATACTCCTTCTTCCAATTACTCTTTGATCACATAAATAAAATCCTAACCCTTGTTTTCTTTTAATATCTTTTCCTTTTTTCTCAAAATTCTTATTAGCTTTCAAGCCCACTTTTAATTTCAAGAAATTGACTCCAGTAATTNCTTCAAGTTGCCAAGGTTGAGAAACACTGTTGTAGAGGGAGAAGCTGGGCATAAGAGATGGTATAAGAAAGCAAGCTGATCAGCTTTAAATCTTGTGTGGCTTCTATTTCAGCCCCTGGAACTTCCATGCATTGTAGAATCTTTTTAACCAATAAATGTATAGTGTCCTATGTTGTAGGTTCTTTAATAAATGTTTTAATATATTCTTCATTTTTGCAGACATTACTACATGTTTGACTGATGATTTTACTGCACCTTGATGGACCGAATAAACAAAGCAGATTTCACCAATACCAGCAAGTGTCAAAAAAAATAATTCTTGGAGGTTATACTTATTCACCAGTACTCTCAGTAAATCTTCAAGCTATAAACATTTTGGAAATTTGAAATAATAGAAGAAATCTACATGTTGATCTGCTCTCTTTCCAGGTGGTAATTTTGAAGACTGCATAAATGAAGGTTTTTTGTTTTTTTTCTGTTTCTGCTATGAAATCATTATTCCTTAAATTTCAAAGTTAATTTTTTCATATTTTCCGATATTAGTTCTTGGAACTCAGTTAATAACTTGCTGCTATGAAAGATTGAAGTCCATCTTTCTATGCTAAAATACTTGCTTTATCTAATTTTTGTTTGCCGATTATATGTCACCTAAAGAATTCAGAACAGTCACTGAAAGCCCTTCCTCTCGAAAATTTCTTAAACGTAACGTTAATAATATCATTGTAAAGGTAAAGCTGATCAGCTCCAGCATCTTTAAACGCTGAGCCATCGTGCCCCTGGAATCTCAGCGTGATTTAAAATTTACTAGAAGAAAGTACTTTTTATTTCATTGATGGAGAGCCACAGTTAACCAAAATGAAGGACTTTTGCCTAGTAATTTCCTTTTTATATTAAATAAAAAATGCTGTAAACTACAAACTATATACCTAGTATATAGATGATAAGTGATTATGCCTTTAAAATATCTTTTCCAATATAACATCATTTTATATTACTTATTTCCAAACTTTATTGTTGTGCATATAACCGAGAATTCCTACTTAACAATCAATAGCACTTTTAAATATTTATATAGTTAAATAAATACAACAGTAGTAAAACCTACATTTAAATTGCCTGGTAAAATACTATTTCATATGCAAGATATATAGTGTGAGCCTTTGGCATTTAAATCTTACAGTGAGTAGTTCAGCGGCTCGTGCCAATTCAGCGTTCCTATTTCTGATTGTTCTGTTTGACAAAACTACCAAGTAAATCCTTTAATTCATTGTTATTATGAATACTGGCTACTTTATCAACACAGAACAGCTACTTAACTGATCACCTGGGGAAATATGGATCAATATAATGACTCATTTCATACTGCACACTACTTATGGTTTGCTCAATCCATCTGCCTGGATTCATGCAATATACAGTGAATCATAAACTCATGATACCGCCTGAGGTTTACACAAGACACATTTCCTGGTATGAAACCACTCAGAATTTACAAGCAGAATAATTTCTATATGAAGAGGAATCAATCTGATTCAGGTATACAGAGCCTTTTTTGTAAAGTGTTGTTTGGGATATCAGTGCAAACTACCAAAGTCCTTGCACAATAGACACTGTTAGTAATCAGATACCTCTTACTTATGAACACAGGCTACCTTTTTTTATTTTTCTGTGATGTTTGCTGAATATAGTTGCCGAAGTAGAAAAAGTCTCCAAACTGAATTTGAAGTCTGAGGACTTTATTGAAAACATCCATGCAGGATTTTTTTTTATTACCTGATTAGAAGATAGCTGACCCTTCCCTTCTGCCGGGGTGGTTTTTGACTTCCCAGCAGAATTTCCAAACCCAATCACTTCTTGATTGTTTCCTATTCAAATAGCAATCACTCCCAACCATGCATAGCTACAATGAAGACAACCAAGTTTTATTACTCAAATGCAAGAGAGTAGCAAACATTTGTTTGTGGAGTCTTGTGTTTTCTGAACTTGGTGGTACCACAAGCTTAGAGAGCAATTTGGAGAGCAGTATACCAAGGACCCCGCAATTGAACCTGAGCGACAAAATACCCTATCTGTAAAATCATTTCTTTTGGTCTCACTTATGAGAATCTTGTTTTCAAAACACTGCAGTTGCATGAAAAGGTTTCCTATGTCTCAGTGGTGGGTTTCAAAAATCGTTTGAACCTACTCTGTGGGTGTGGCCTCCTTTGTGGGAGTGGCTTGCCACCCATGTAACCGGAAAGGAGTGGCTTGCCGCCCATGTGACCGGATATGAAGATGCCGACGACACTTGTCAGAACCACCTTAAATTACCTCACACACAGCACTGGCATGCA